GCGAGGACATTTCTCTTTCTCTCTTCTGCGGTGTGATAAAAAGTCTCCCGGGGATGAGAAAATGCCTCCGAGCTGCTCGCGCGCTATTATAGCAGCAGCGGCAGCTTCTGCCCCGCTCGAGCTCGCGTTCTCCTATAGGTACGAATGAATTAAGGTTTAGGAGGTAATAGTGCATCTGATAATGACGCTATATTTCCTTTTTCACGACTTTCGTCTAAACGATTATTACGACGTTTGATTCTAGCAACTTGTTTTCGCCAATTTTCTTTTTCACAATATAATATATCATATCAAGTTAAGTCATGTATGGCTCGACGCTCAATTGTTTTTGGATTCTTCTTCGATAATAGTCGTCGAAAATCGATGGACCAATTAAATTTACATTTTACCCCTGGCAAAAATGAGAGCTTGAAAAATTTTCGAACCGCGCATAGAAAAAGCGCAGCAGCGTGGGAAATTATCTTCGAAGCTCGAAGTCGGCCGCAAAAACTTGTGCAAATTGGCAGCGATTAAACCTCTAACATGGCGAGCGTGCGAGAGAGGAAAAAAGAACCGAGTACGCGAAAGAAGGAAAAAAAAGAAAAAAAGAAAGGAACTCGACGAAGGTAAGGGAAAAAAGGCGTGGAAGGATGCGTGGCAGAGACCATTTTCATTCATTGGAGAGTCCCCAAGAAAAATATAAATTATAGCGCGCGTGAGCTGCTGCACCGCGCGCGAAAGAGAGAGGCGTCGCTCTTTCTCTCTCTCTCTCTCTCTCTCTCTCTTTCTCGCCAAGCTATTTCGGCGAGTCGTAACTCATATTTACGACCAATGGGAGTTACGCCAACTTTAAGAGGCTGCATAATGAAAGCTCCAGCGTGCAGTCCTGCCACGACGCAGCTATACTACTACGGCTACAGCAGCAGCAGCAGCGAGCTTTTTTCACGCGCGCACCCCAGCAGGACTATACATATAGGTGTCACTGGCCCACTTTGTCTCCCGCGCTAAGTTTGGTATTTTTTTATTTTTATTATTATCACGTGGACCGAATACAGAGACGCGGGGATGCTTGACTTTCTTCTTTCTACGCTTCTTTTTTTACTAGCTGCGGCTCTACCCTGCTCGGCGCGCATTTTCCTTGGCTAACAATATAATTAATTTTTGTGCGGGAAAGTATATAGAGAGGGGTTATAATACGTCGTTTTTGCATACCGAGTCTTGGCCGAAAAAGAAATCCAAATGGATACTACTTTGTTCTGCTTTGGACATTCATTTTCTCTTTTGTTGAAAACTTGAAAAACTTCCATCGAGAGAAGGGGGCGAGCGTACGTATTATATAGCCAGCTCGAATTATTTGTATTCCGGGCACAAAGTAAACTTGGAAAATATTTTTCATTCGAGTCACTTCATCAGTGTAATGAATTACATTAAGAGCGACGAAATAAATGAATTTTGCTCGGGCAAGAGAGAGTGAGAAAGAGAGAGAGAGGGGGAGAGGGAGGCATGATTTTATACTTTGCATCATTGAAATATTATTGCTTTTGGCTCAGGATTGAGCCTGTTGGGATATACTGGTTTACATTATTTGTGTATGACAGTGTGCTGCGAGCAGCAGGAGCCAGAGAGAAGGACTAGACTCTCCTGGACCGTGGAATCTATACGTATACGACCCGGCCAATTCCCTTTTGTACGTGGTTTGGAATGTACGTATACATGCAGTACACATATACACAGGCATTTTTCTTCCATCGTATACCCGATGTTTTTTCCCCCAGTCACGTTTTCTTAGACTTGTGTATACGCGTATACACAAGCTTATATATCATACATGACCAGACAGAAATTGAACATCTGAATTAGAGTTTGCATATTATCGACGTTTCGATATGTATACCTATTGCTACATGCGATGTAAAATGTATAGCTTTTGAGGGTATATTCTTTGTTTGACTTGTGCATGTAAAAAAAATTCCTACGGAAGAACAAGGACACCGTGGATGAAAAATCAGTCCTGCTGACCTCGACATTAACTGGCACACAACGACTTATCATGTCCTCGAGATCCGAATGATAATAATAATTTTGTTCGAGCGGAATAACAAAAATAACCTATTTACAAAATCATTGAAAATGAGAAAAGAGAGAGAGAGAGAGAGAGAAAGAAAGAGAGAGAGAGAGAGAGAGAAAGAAAGAGAGAGAGAGAGAGAGAAAGAAAGAGAGATAGAGACTCTGCCATTCGATCGGTGACGGTACAGTACCTATATATAGGAACGCGTCGCCGAGTAACCGCATCGCTTCCGTTCGTTTGCCGCACATCTATTATACTCGGTTTCTTCTCACTTTACAGAAAGAAAGAGAGCCCCGAGGAAAGCCGAAGAAAGGTCGAAGGTAAAACTCGACTCTCTTGGTTCCTTTTTCTCTTTCTCTTTCGTATCTCGTGACACTGTACGTCCCACGCGGCGGTCTCGAGTTCCAAATATGCGCGCGCGTATGCGAGTGAGCGTGCACCACATACTACATACATACACACACAGCCGAGCGTATAGAGCTGCAGCACGGCGTTCGAAACAATAGCGAAAGCGAAGCGAGCGAGCCACCTTCATTTCGCTTCGTATTGTTTTCAACTGCGAGCTCTTTTTTAAGCTCAACCCTTTTTTTCTCTCTTTTCTCTCTCTTTTCTCCTCGCTCTCTTTCTCTCTTTCTTTTCGCGTGATCCTAGGCTAAGAATAATTACTCATGGCTGTGAATTCTTTCTCTTCGGCTCACAAACAAATGGACTTATTTATCTCTCGTGTGGCCACGTCTTCTCTTCACCGCTACTACTACTACTACTACTACTACTACTCGCTTCTCTGCTGTGGGCTTGTGTTCGGTAAAAAGAATTTGTGCACTTTATATACACACGAATTCGTATGAATTGCTCAGGCACGCTTGCACGCTCATTGTGGCCGGGCATTTTTTTCCCTTGGCCCTGCTGGCTCGCGCGCGCGCACCTCTGTTGATTCTTGCGATTTCTCTTTCGCCTCTCTCTCTCTCCTCGGCTCTTGGCTTTTTTCTTCCTCCCGCACTAATTTCATGACTGAAAGACTGCTTTGTTTTGTCTCTTGTTTAGTAATTACGCAAATGCTGCGCTCCAGAACGGCCGCTTGCTCTCGCTCCGAGCGCGCGCGCGCGAGCAAACATGCAATATATCGTGGCCTGGGCTTCAAGTCTCGTCAGATGTAATTAGCTGATGCGCGCACCTTTTTCATCGCTTGGCTCGCAGGCGTTAAATACATATATATTTTGTATATTTCGAAAGCTGCGCTCGCGTGGCGTGCTCCCCTCGTTCGTTTTCTCGAGTTTCAACAACTGTTTTTAATTGAATTCCCGTTGAATTTTCTAACGATAAATCGTCCTTTTATATTCCTGCGAGGTATAATTTCGAAAGAATAATTGAGGAATTTTTAACGAGCTGTTGCCAAAAAAATATAAAATGAAAAAGAACAAAAAAGGAAACCAAAAAAAGAAGATGAACGCGATGCATAGAGGGAGAGAGAGAGAGCGAAAGAGGAGGATGGCCGAGCTAGGGAGCTGCTCGCGAAAAAAATTCACTCGAAACGCGCGTTAGCATCGTGACAAAGCTCTTTTTTTCTGCGTGCAGTCGGACGAAAGCCTCGCCGTGGAGCTGTTATGTCATTTCTTGCTCGTGTGCCGCTGCCACCGCAGTCGCTACCACCGCCCGCGTGCGCATAAAGGCTTGAAACAGTAAGCTTTTACCGACACGCGCGCTCTTCAGCGTCACCCTGAGCACCACTAGCTCCGTCGCTCCTATTATTATATGGGGCCGAAACGTGAGTGAGCGAGAAAGAGAGCGCAGAGCTATGAAAGGCAGTGCACAAACGAAAAAGGATTCCTCGGTATGTCTTTTAATATGCGATAAAACAGCTCATTTCTTCGGACACACCATAACTAGCGAAATTTCCTTTGCAGGGTTACGACCCGACATTTTTCTCTCCATCCACCAGCTAGTGTTGAGAAAAGAGAGGAAACAAATAAAAGCGCGAGCTTTGGTACGCGAATCGTGAAATACGCGCGCACTCACTCGCAGAGATAAATCAGCGCGTGCCTCGCCGATTCCGCGAGATCAAGAATGAGCAGGCCTTATATAAAAGTGCAGCACGCACCTGCCTAAAGGTATATAATATTGCCCGAATTCCCGACAAAACTCATCTGCATTTCGAGCTTGCAAGCTGCGCCTGAGCAACGTAAAACACACGCGTAGAGAGAGCGACAAATCAGCGCAGATTGCTTTAACGATATGCCGTTGCGCGCAATTTTGACCTATATACAAAGTGAATAAGCGCGACAGTGGATACGAGGGTCGTCGGCTGTTTATATTCATTACACGAGGTATACACTTTTGCGATCTTCCAATGCTGTTTAAGCACGCGTCACATTAATAGTCGAGCCTGATATATAATGCGATGAGTACGTATACGTATATACGGTAATCCTCTCAGCTATTTATTTCAATTGGTTTTAGGTGACTCGTGTATGCTGCCGTGATTGTGCGAGCTACATGGCAAGGTGCAACCCGCGTGAGTATATACGCGAATTGGCACATACACGTTTTGTTGACAGTTTTGAAAGAGCTGTCAACTTTTCGATAAACTTTCCAATTTTCCCGGGATGAAATCTAAACGTATAGCATGTATGTGTACGCCCAGAGAGAGAAGGGAGAAAGAGATACGAGTTTTTAATGGGATTGGAGTTTGGCGAGGACGAAGAGTCGGGTATTATATATAGCGCGGTGCCGAGATTCAAAGCGATTCGCGCGACAAACTGTTCACCGCTTGGCTCTTTGACGTTTGGTTATATTGCCTACACACACGCATGCACACATACATTGCACACACGCACTACTGCTGACTCTCTCTCTCTCTCTCTCTCTCTCTCTCTCTCTCTCTCTCGCATTCGCTTGTGGTTAGTATGATATTGTCATGTACGCCGACTGAACGGTGGATCCAATGCGGCTCTCTCTATCGTCTCGCAGCGTTATGGTTGAAAAATCCGGTAAACATTTCCACGGGCAGTGGAAATATGATGGTCGAATTCTTCTCAGCCGATATGTTGTTGAGCGTCTGTAAATATCTCAGCTGGAAGAACGAAAGGCAGAAATTAATTTTCGTAAAACAAAGAAAATAAAAGCAGCGAAGAAAAGAACGAAAAGCTCGTTTGAGCTTTTGGCTCTATATGTATGGCACGTATATATCATATTCGGTCGCTGCTGCTTCTGTGCAAGTAGTAGCAGCGAATAATTGGATCTTCGACGTCACGAGAGAGAGGCGTATCTTACCTGAAGAGCGGCAGGGCTCATGGAGATGACATCGCTGGCTTCCTTCAGTGCGCGCGAGGCACGCATTTCACCTTCGGCAGCGATTACTTTGGCGCGTGCTTCGCGTGCTGCCTCGGCTTCCGCAGCCATTGCTCGCTGCAGCTGCACGGGTAGCCTTACATCTTTGCTGCGCATATATACGTATATAATACAAGGGTGGATATGTATATACATGATGTATGCGCAAAGTACATAGCATTCATCTCTCTAATGTATTGGTGTCGTATGCGTGTGAGCGTGCGGCTGTGTGCTTGAAATGCTTATGACGTGTGCCGTATACCCCTCGTACGTGTAGACGACACACGCGAGCTGCCGCTGCAGCACTAGTACTACTCGGAAGAGCTTTTGTCGAAGGATCTTGGCCCATTGTTGTCATTAATAAGTTTTAAAGCTTATTGGCAGACGACGTGGCGTACGGGAGTCTAGCTGTGCAGGGCGAGAAAACTTTGGCGAGTGCAGAGGCATAACCGCCTCTCTGCACCGCTACGTGCATGTATACGTGAGCAATTTATATTCCTTGCCTTGTCGTCAAATTGTTCTTCTCTTTTGCGCTTGCTCGACGACGAAACTCGCGACGACGACGCGAGCGAGCCCCCGGAAGCAGCTATTTCGTTCGAGAATTCGGGACGCCACGCGTGCGAAGATGCGCTGCTCATTATATTATGCGTACGAGAATATTGTTGTATATTTTTAATGCAAAGTCAAAAATGAACAATAATCATATGATTTTTACACAAAATTCAACACAAACTTTTTATAATATTTTTATTAAACATACATTTTTCTTAAAAACCTCGCGGGTTCCGGATAGACTACTTGGTGTTCCACTAGCCCTCTAGGTCTAAATTCGTTGAAAGTTTTTTTGAAGCTACAGAAAACAAGCTATAAATCGTATTCTCAAGTTTATGTACATAACTTTATTTTTTCACGTTCGGAAAAGATTGTGACATCTAATGGTGAAATCCGAAACTCATTTCCAATCAACGCATTTGATTTGAATTGAAACTCCCAAAAAAAGTATTTTTCGAGTCATTTTATTATATTATATTATGTAACCTAAAACTTCTAGAAGCTGTAGTCATCTACAAGACTTTTGAACGGTTTTCATTAATCTAAATACCATAAAGAACTCGTAATTATTGCATATTATAAAATATATTTTTCGTTGAGAAGTCAACTAAAACCGAGTAAATTGACTGATTTTTTCTCTCAGAGCATAAAGTTTACGAATGATATTTGTTTAGTTTTGTATTTAAATCATATAAAAATTGTATATTTTTGATTTTGGACTCAGAATTTAGACGATGTATATTTTTTCACGTACACACCGAAAACTTGATAAACTTTCCATGAGTACATTATTGACGATTTGACCCGAGTATAACTCGAGCACGCCAGAAGAGGAAAGATCGCTCGTGTTCTAAGAAGACTATCGGGTCAGAAAAGTAGCGGAAAAATGTGTGGCGCGTTTGCACTGCCGTGCACGTGCATCATGTCACTGTATGGGATAAGACACAAAAGACGTGAGATCTGTCAAACGGAAAAGCTGCACGCCGTGCATTTGCGGAAGCTGCCTTAGACTGCGCCACGGGGTGGTCGCTCGCCCTGCAGCACGTATATATTTATTTATATTATACGCGCGAAAGCGTAGATTCGCATAAGCCAGGCATGAGCTTCGAGTAGACGCGCAGTCCCTGTGTGTGATGCGTGCAGCAGCAACAGCAGCGGGCTTTGGCCAAGCTCGAGTCGAAATTTCATTAAAGCCGTGCACGTTTCAAGGCTCGTTAGTCACAAACACAGCTCGTGTGTGACTCGCTACAATGTATAGGTATGTGTGTGTATATGACGCGTGTTCGTCTGTTGTTGGCAGTGAGCATATATACCTGTGTACGTATACACACATAAATATGGTTATTACACAAGGGATCCGCATGTGCAGGTGTGCCGTGCGTGCCAACGGTCGGTCCTGAGCGCCGCGTTACAACACGCGTGTCGTTCCGATACTCACATCTCGACTCGTTCCACCTTGACGCCCTACGGATCGGTAGCCTCGTCGAGCGAGCTCTGCATCGTGTGCGATATGGTCTCGCGCTCGGCCAGGATCTCGGCCAGGCTTCTGGTGCCCAGTACAGTGCGCAGCGTACTCGCGGCCAGTAGCCTCGTTGAGTGACTGCTCCGAGCGGGGACCCCCCAACGCGCGCAGCGAACAACACATAACAATTCGCATAATTTATTGGACGCTAACGCAGGTATCCGGCAAGCCGCAGAGTATACCTGTAATTGGCTATTTTGACGACTGCGCTGAGCGGCTCCTTGATACGGTAGTAGACAACTGCGTCGACGCTGACAGTCACCGAGTCCTTGGTGAGTACCTCCTGCGGCGGCACGTCAAACGAGACAGTGCGCAGATCCACCCGCACGCAATTGTCGATGCAAGGCAGAACGAAGAACGTACCTGCCATCAGATTGCCGGAAGAGAAATTTTCACAACGATCTGTGCGGTGCGGTGCGGTACGTACACGTACGCGTTATAAGAGCTTTGCGGCTAATGGTTATACCTGGACCTCTCGGGACACCTTTGAGACGGCCCATGCGGAAAACGACGGCTCGCTCGTACTCTTGCACGACTTTGAACACGACGCACAGAGAGAATGGAAGAGTCGTGAGGATGAGCAGAATCGAGCCGATGATGGCCAGGATTTCGAAGCATCTTGTCACCAAGCCCATGCCGTTGGTTCCTTTTTTCTCTTTAGACACTTCTAATCGGACAATCGATAACGTGACGTTTTTACAATTAGTAAGAAATAAATTCAACGCACATAAGAAAGAGAATTATAAGAAAGATAAATCTCGGTATCTCACTGAACTCAACGAAGCACTCGAGTTGACCACTGTTGGTTTTCGCGCAACCGTAGCTCACCATCGCAGCTGGCCGCGCACTGTAGCACCGCACTGCTCTGGTACACGCCGCACGCGCGCATCAAATCGTCCCAAGAGATGATGTTCGAGCTTTGTGTGCAGAAGTAGCAACAGCGACGTCGACGTACCTCGTTATAATCGCCCGTCGGTGAGCTCTGCACGCGATATATATTCGTATACGCGTGTGTGCGTTACTCTCCAGGCGTATATATTGAACATATATAGCGAGAGACACACATTATACCATGGGCTGCACTCGATCATGACGTTTATATTCGAACGCGCCGCAATGACGAATGGTAACTCGCTTGATCATCGTTTATATTACGCCACCGCAGCCCGATCGCCAACGCAGCGCTATGTTGACTTAACTATCGATATTTTCTAGAAATTTATCAGTCGACGTTCGTACATTGCCTTTGTGCAACGCTTATGTGCATGCGAGTATCGCCACATACGATTCGTTCGGATTCAATATGTAATATGTATACGCGAACACACATTTAGTGAATTATACGCTGGGGGGAAAATTATATTTAGGTCGGGCGTAGTTATTAAAATATTTAAAAGGACTATCGGGCCTACGGTACAGCAAAAAAGATATGGTAAATCAATTTAGAATAATATAATTTTAATTTGTGATGATCGTGATTTGATCAAATTTCAACTACAGAAAAATTGTTAATTTCAATAAAGATGATTTCGTTATAAATGATAACTATTTTCACTTACCTTATGATTTATACGAAGTCCAGCAAGGTTTCCAGGCCCTCGATCGATGCTTAATCCTATTTCAGAAACATTTACTAAAAACATTCACTACAAACATTCACTACCTTGTGCACATATTCACTAATTAACTGAAAAAAAATAAGAAAAAATTAAAATATGTAGTGTATTCAAAAAAATTGAAATATGATGTAAAATATTGCAATTACACGTGTGAAAATTCAGATATGATTATTAACAAAGTAGGTTCTTGGAAATTCCGCGAGGTTTTTTTGGCACCGATCAACATTTTTGTAACTCCTCCCTGCGTACGTAATCGCGTGTTATATACACAAACGACCCTATAAATTGTACAACGTCTTTGCCAATGCCTCGTGAGTATGCGAGAGAAGAGAGCGAGCTTTGCATACTACAGCAGCGCCTACGCGCACGCATGTATACCTACGTATACGAAACATCAAACAAGCGGCAACGTCAAGGCCTTACTTGATAAGCGCTATATCCTCATCGAACATTAATTACATCGAAAATGTGTTCCGTGCAAGCACACGTAATACTATACGCGGCAGCGCGTGCGGGCTTGAAATGCTCGCTCGAGCCAAAATATTCTGGATAATAAACAGCGATTCAGCGCATGTGTATGCAAAGCGCGATACTTTTATATATGTTGTAAGTTACTTAGAGTAATCGACCCAAGATACGAAGGGGCTTCCAGTCCAGTAGATGTACGATTGATTATTTTATTTATCATAATAATAATTATAATGAGTATGAATGTAATCATAGAATTTTTTCTAGAAATTCATGACGATTATTTTTTTGAACTGCGTTTTTATTTATACAATTATTTTGACTTTGCCACTTGAAGATTTACGAATAAAGGTACTCTCCATCTAGTGGTGGAGGCTTAAGTAGTATTATTGTATTTATAGTGATTGAAAACTAATATAAAATTTATTTTCAGTAAATGTGAAATAGTTGAACGTTTAATATTTTCAACACCATTGTAATAGAAAAATTGCCAAAAACAAACCAATTGATATTGAGCATTTTGACCGTGGGAAAAGAAAAAAATATTTTATTATTATATTAGGACAGATTTTTGTCGCAGTTGTAGTGCAAAACGGGGAAAAAACATTGCAAAATAAAGACATGAGTGTATACGCTTTGATTTCAAACCACAGACCCATGCCGAGTTCAAGCTTTATACGAGCAGTCTACGTTTCAAACATCCAAACTGCAGCGCGAAACTGAAGGCATATCTTCTGTAGCCTTTGTGCATAAATTGCTACGTAGATTCAAAACGTCGGCATTACTAGATCGATGAATTTCACGTAGAAATAAAATAATCGAGTTCGGCATTAGTGCATATACTTGCGCGTGCCAGCACGAGTCAAGCTCGATCCGAGGCTAAAAGGCGAGCGCGCGTACGAATTTCCTGTGCAGACTACGCGAGAAATGTTATCGACTCTTCTGATTCGATCAGTGTCGTGCATATACGCCACGCTGGTATATTTCGTCGTCGCGCAGATCCGATATGGAAATAGCTGCCGCTATTTCCGATGAATTTTCCGCTGTTTATTTTCTCTGAGCCGATCTATGGTGGAGCTCGATCTGTGCGGTTATTTTAAGTAAACGATTCTATTACAGAGAGAGAGAGAGAGAGAGCTGCTGCTGCTGCGACCGCATATAATACGTGTACTATGTACGTATATCAATCGAGCGTCTGCTAATCGTCAAATTCCCGAAGTTTGCTTTTCATTCACTGCCATATTTCGAAATGAATGCAAATCTTCGGCCAGCGCGTGTTTCGCATTTACGATTCATGGCGATTCTATTTCAAAAAGTCTATCGAATGGTCAAACTTTTGCACTTTGTATAACTGTGTGAGTTATTATAGGACTATAAATACTTTTGAGAATCATTTCGACTATTGCTTTCTATAACTTTTAAACTTATAAACTCGGATGAAAATAAATTTTCAATGAAAGTATTCGAAATCATACTACTACTAGCTATTTTTGTCATTTCAATCAATTCACGTTTTTAACAAATAGCGATTATTCGTTGTTTAAAAAATTTTTTCTTCTATGGAATATAAGACAAATGAATACGATACTTGGAAAAACAATTTCAACTTTACTGAAGGACTGGTTCTCAAATTCTGGCAAAAGATCCTTTTTAAATTAATGTTATAAAAGGACTCCTGAAATTGACGAAGAATCTGAAACTGAACACTCTCAAAACAAGAATTTATTTATTACAGAGTGCTCCACTACTGTTAGGAACATCCTATTTACCGAGAGAGCAAAGCATGTTTGATATCCGACCGATCTACATTTGTAGCGTATACACGTGACAATTGATCCAGTTCGATTTTTCAACTTACAGCGCATTGAATTAAGCACCGACAAATCGAATACCGGAGTTTACGAGCAGAAGTCCTCCCTGACGTTGACAAACGACCTCCGTGCCCTCGCAAGCTCTGCCTTCCGCAATCGAATAAAATATTTCATAGGTTATCAAAAAAAATTATAAAGCTCCTCCGAAGCTCTATACGCATGAGTCAGGTATTCCGGATATAATACACAAACGGAGATATTTGTCGCACTCGACCCTCGATACACGTATATATAGCATCATCTCAATCATCGCGCTTACATACGCGTGCGTGGAGCGCGTCAAATGCAAACATGTGCTCATACCTGCCTGCCGCTTATATATATGGGTCAAAATAATACTTTTTTACAAAACCGTGCGCACGTATGTCACCGATCTTGACGCGCTTTTGGTATGTTATAGTACATGGTAAAAAGGTCCCAAAAAAAAATTTTTAGACCCCCTCCCCCCTCCTACCCCCCACTTCCGGTATAAACGTCCATTTTCGATCTATATTTTTTCTGAGGACATGAAGCAAGTAAAAAATCTGAAAAAATTCATAAAAATACTTTTCCACAATCCAAACAACCTTGAATTTTTTCAGATTTTTTGAGTGCTTCAGGCCTTCAGATAAAATCATTGAAAATTTCAAAAATCGAGATACGGCGGTATGAGCCGATGTAGTACTCGGAAATTTTTTCAGTTATTTTTCGCATTAAAAAACATAACCTCAATTTTTTTCAGATTTTTTCAGATTACCTAACGCACCTTTTGAAGCCAAAAACCGATTTTTTTGACGAAAATAATTTTTTTAGGACAGTACGGAGCCTCGAAAAATCTGAAAAAAATTTTTTCTTGTTTTTTTCATCAAAATACGTAATCTCAAATTTTTTCAGATTTTTTAATTGAAGGCGATAGCTTCTAGGGCCGAAAAATGCTATTTTTAACAAAAAATGGTTCCTAGAACCCGATGGTTCCGGTGAAAAAATTTGAAAATATTTTTTTTGAATTCCTTGTCAAATTTTAATAAATTTTGACCGTTTCAAAAGTTCGATTGAAGCTTCCTAGCTCATTTTAGAGCAGGACAAAGATTAGTGCAAAATATCTGAAGACGTTTCTGAAGACATTAAGGAATGATAAAACTCGTTTGATGCTCTAAAATGAGCTAGGAAGCTTCAATCGAACTTTTGAAACGGTCAAAATTTATTAAAATTTGACAAGGAATTCAAAAAAAATATTTTCAAATTTTTTCACCGGAACCATCGGGTTCTAGGAACCTTTTTTTGTTAAAAATAGCATTTTTCGGCTCTAGAAGCTATCGCCTTCAATTAAAAAATCTGAAAAAATTTGAGGTTATGTATTTTGATGAAACAAACGAGAAAAAAATTTTTCTAGATTTTTCGAGGCTCCGTACCGTCCTAAAAAAATTATTTTCGTCAAAAAAAGCGGTTTTTGGCTTCAAAAGGTGCGTTAGGTCATCTGAAAAAATCTGAAAAAAATTGAGGTTATGTTTTTCAATGCAATAAAAAACTGGAAAAATTTCCGTTCACTATATCGACTCAAATCGCCGTGTCTCGATTTTCAAAATTTTCAATGATTTTTTCTGAAGGCCTGAAGCACTTAAAAAATCTGAAAAAATTCAAGGTTGTTTGGATTGTTGAAAAGTATTTTTATGAATTTTTTCAGATTTTTTACTTGCTTCATGTCCTCAAAAAAAATATAGATCGAAAATGGACGTTTGTACCGGAAGTGGGGGGTAGGAGGGGGGAGGGGGTCTAAAAATTTTTTTTTGGGACCTTTTTACCATGTACTATAACATACCAAAAGCGCGTCAAGATCGGTGACATACGTGCGCACGGTTTTGTAAAAAAGTATTATTTTGACCCATATCTATGCACAATTCCATCTCGAGCAAATATA